GGAAGAGGGTCAATAATGAAGAGGAGTTGAGAAGACAGGTGGAAAAACTTCGGATAGAGTTGAGCAAAAGCAGAAAAGACAAAGCAATGTTGGAAGAAATGATGCTGGAAGGAGATAAAAGGAGAGCATTTCTAGATGAGCAACTACAATCTAGAGATGCAAGAATAACAAAGCTTGAGTTAAAACTAGGTGAGGAGAAGATTGCTAATGAAGAAAGTGAGAAGGAGCTAAGAAGGATGAGTTTGGATTGGATGCAAAGTTGCTCTGAACTTGAAGCATTAGAGATTGACCTTAACGATTGCCAAGGAAGTGCAGAATATTTCCAAGAAAAATTTGCACAAGTCCAATTCGAATTGATGGATAGGATTGGGAAGTATGAGGATTTGAACAAGAAATATATAAAGTTGGAAAGCCGTTCAATGGGGATTGCAAAAGAAGAAAGTAAAAAGAAAGGTTTCGAGGCTGTTGAAACAGAATTAGCAGTTAAGAAGAATGAGATAAAAGTTATGAGGATAAAACTTGACAAGGAACGTGAAAAGGTGAAGTATTTGGATGAGAAGCTAGCAGCAATGGAAAAACACAAGGATCAAATTGACGCCAACAACATTGCTTTGAACAGAACCAACATGTTGCTTATAGAGAAGATGACCAAGACAGATGAGCAAATGGATGAAGCTGCTGCACATGCTCGAATTATTAGAATCAATGCGCGGAATGTTGGAGGAGACATCATTCGCTATCGCCGAAGCCTTGCTGAAACCGATGCCTTTCTAGGGAAGATTGAGAATCGCGGCTTTGCTTTCTTACCTTTGGCTAGAGAGTTTAGGGAGGAAAGGGATTAATATATTTTGTACTTTCTTTTTATTTATTAATGTAATAAACTTATCAAGCATTAATGAAAAGGGCGTTGACCCATCCTCTTATGCAAAATCTATCTCTTGGTGAATATGATTCAAGCAAACGACTTGAAAGGCAGTACTCCTAGCAATGTGACAAGAGAACCTATATTTATAAGGTGGTGGCTATTATTCGTTCATAAGAAGATTGCATCCATACCTAATATACACAGCATTCTCAATCATGCATTTTCTCATACATCTATACACGCATCTGCAGATTAAGAAACATAGGTCCCCCTTCTAGAATCCACAATACTCGACAAAGAACAAGAATGGAAAATGAAGAAAGGTCACAATCTGAAACTCAATACCAAAGAGAGCTTGAAGGAGTTCGGAATGATGTGGCGCACCTGACCAGTATGCTAGAGCAAATGTTGAGAGCTAGAGATGGAGAGGGAACGTCTACTCAACCTGATGAAGCACCACCAGCAGCTCAAGTCCCTATTGCACCTATAAACACAGGGGAAAATACACCAAATAAGCAGCATCCTAATCCCATTCGGCCCATCCAAATCCCTGTTACGATGGATTTAACAAACGAGGATCCACAAGACGTCAGATTCTCTAATCATGAAGGGTATGATAAGTGGACTATTCTAGAAGAGAGGCTAAGGGCAGTTGAAGGAAATGATTTATTTGACCCAATTAGGGCCGCTGAAATATGTTTAGTGCCTAACATCGTAATTCCAAAGAAGTTTAGAGTTCCGGAGTTTGTTAAGTATACCGGAATGGAATGCCCAAAGACCCATCTTCGTTCGTACTATAACAAGATGGCAGAAGTTATCCATGATGATAAATTGCTAATTTACTTCTTCCAGGATAGCTTGACAGGATCCGCTCTTAGCTGGTATATGAGGCTGGACAATGTTAGGATCAAGAAATGGACAGATCTGGCCGATGCTTTCTTAAAACAATACAAGTTCAATCTTGAGATTGCTCCTGATAGGACCAGTTTGATTACCATGGAGAAAGGAACTCAAGAGTCTGTGAGAGCTTATGCTCAAAGGTGGCGAGACCAAGCTATCAATGTACAACCTCCACTAATAGAGACAGAGATGGTAACACTGTTTGCCAATACTTTTAGGGCCCCATACTATGAACATCTTATGGGTAGCTCAGCCCAGCATTTCTATGATGCTGTGCGAATTGCTGAAAGGATTGAGCAAGGAATCCGAAATGGGAGAATTGTAGAACCTGTAGAGAAGAAGGGTTTTTTTGGGAAGAAAAAGGAAACCGAGGTGAATAACCTAGAAGGTAGGTACCAAGGGAAAGGAAGAAACTACCAAAATTACCAAACACCTACCTCCCAAATCACTAGCATCAACTTTTCCAAACCTTCCATACCAAACCAACCCCATCAAACAAAATTCCCAACCAACAACCAAAACAGTTACCAAAGGAGAGACAACCGACAACTAGAAGAACCATTACCACCGTTGCCAATAACCCTAAAGGAGTTATATGCCAAGTTGCTAAGTATTGGACAGATAGCTCCCTTACCATTACCGCCTATGCAACCGCCTTTCCCTACTTGGTACAACCCCGAGTTGACTTGTGAATACCACCTACTTGGTACAATCCCGAGTTGACTTGTGAATACCATGCTGGTAATGCGGGTCATAGCATCGAGAATTGCGTGGCTTTTAAAAAGAGGGTATCACAGTTAATCAAAATCGAATGGGTTACTTTTGAAGATTCGCCTAATGTGAATTCAAACCCTCTACCCAAACATGCTGTAGGTGGTAGTGGAGTGAATACTATGGAGGTCGGTAGCAAAGAGAAGGTGCTAAGAGTGACCATGGCGAGGCTGTATGAGATGTTGGTACAATCTGGACATTTGGAGAAACCATCTGAACATTGCATGAGGAAAAATGATTTTTTCCCATTCCATAAAAAGAAAGGGCATCACATTGATGAATGCATTGAGTTTCATCAAAAGGTTGTGAGAATGTTGACTCTAGGAGAGCTAAGGATTGAGGCTGCCATAGATAATGAAGAGATAGAGATGATAGAGAATCAGGGGAAATGCAGAGTCCAATCAACAGCTAATGGGCTCTCAAAACTAGTATTAACTAAGCCCTCATATGCAAACAAAGTAGACTATAGAGCGATTCCTGGAGATTATGGTTATACTTCGAATGTCGAAACTCCTTTGTCGTTGTTTCAAACTGAGATAAGTGGGCTAACTCGGAGTGGTCGTTGTTTCACACCTGAAGAACTAGAGAAGCAAAGAAAGGCTAAAGGCAAGGAGGTGTTGGACCTAAATAAAGATTTTAAGGTGAATAAACCTGTGACTGAGGAAGAAACAAATGAGTTCCTGAAATTGATGAAGCATAGTGAGTATTGTATAGTGGATCAGTTAAAGAAGACCCCTGCCAAGATCTCCATCATGTCATTAATACTCAGCTCTAAGCCGCATCGTAATGCTTTGCAAAAAATACTGAATGAGGCCTATGTACCCCAAGATATTGAACAAAAGACTATGGAGCATCTAGTAGGGAGGATCCATGCTGCCAATTACCTATATTTCACGGAAGATGAACTTGACGTTGAAGGAACAGGACATAACAAGCCTTTGTATGTCACGGTACGATGTAAAGATTGTCTCATCGGTAAAGTTCTCATCGATAATGGCTCAGCCCTTAATGTGTTACCAAGACATATACTGGACGAAATGCCGATAGATCCCTCACACATGCAACCTAGTGTGATGATGGCTAGAGCGTACGATGGCTCGCCAAGGAAAGTGATAGGGACAATTGAGGTTGAACTAGCTGTGGGCCCACAAGTCTTTCTAGTGACCCTTCAAGTAATGGATATACACCCTTCCTATAGCATGTTGTTAGGAAGGCCATGGATACATTCTGCAGGAGCGGTCCCTTCCTCGTTGCATCAATGTTTGAAGTACATTGCTAACGGTGTCCTAGTGACTGTTAAGGCTGAGGAGACTATATCGATGGTAAGAAATGTGGCAGTTCCATTTATTGAAGCTGAAGATTGTAAGGATGAAAATCTTCATGCATTTGAGGTTGTGAATACCGAGTGGGTGCCCGAGAACACTGTGGTGAGGAAACCAGAAATTTCAGAGGCCACCAAAATGGCCGCTAAAAGCTTTTTAAAGCACAAGATTCCTTTCTCATATGATATCGAGAAAGGAAAATGTGAGTTGATTGATATAATCAAGCTGAAAGCTACAGAACAGAGGTTTGGGCTTGGATATAAGCCTAAGAAGGAGGATTACAAGCGAGCTGCTGGTGCAAGAAGGGAGAAAAGAATGGCAAGGATTGAAGGAAGAAAGCCAGAAGAAGAGAGCTTAGCCATCCCTCCTATCAGGATTTCTTTTCCAAAGGCTGCATACGTGATGCAACCTATTAAGGGACATGAAAACCTCCTTCAAAAGCTTTCTTCAATAAACATAAACAGTCTAGAGGAAGATCAAGTCGAGGACGTCGCTGAGAAGTTTGAATCCGGAAGAAAGGATGAAGAGTTGCCGCAATTAACCATCTACACTTTGGAGGAAGTTACTGCCACAACTTTCGTTCGAAAACTAGCCGAAGGAGAGAAGTTCCAGAATTGGGAGACCTAAGAAGCTCCATTGGTTTTCAAAATGTAATCAACAATGATTGTTGGATTATAACTTTATTTATGATTGGTTGTCTTTTTGTTTTGTTTTTATTCATTGACAATCGAAGCTCAAGATGTCAATTGGATTTTTTTTTTAGCCAATCTTTTTCCTTTTAATGAGATTATGCATTTTTTTTCAAATTTCATTTTGATGTCTTACTATGCATTTACACATCACTTCCCGCTTTCAGGAACCCTGAAAGCGGATCTTCCATAACAACACCTACACTTTACATTGAGAATGAATGGCCAAACTTTAAAGAATACATAGTCGCTGTAGAAGATGAGGAATGGGAGAAGAAAAACATAGGGGAATTCACAAAATTAATAGAACAACATGAACAGGCTTGGAGGCCCGCTAAAGAGGAACTTGAAACCATAAATATAAGTAATGAAGAAATCACCCCTGAAGAGAAAGAAGAATTGATTGCACTGCTCAGAGATTACGTAGATGTCTTTGCTTGGTCCTACGAGGATATGCCTGGTTTGGATACGGATATCGTAGTACATAGGATACCACTGATGGATGGATGCAAACCGATTAAGCAGAAGTTGAGGAGAACTCATCCGGAGGTCTTAATCAAAGTAAAAGCAGAAATTGAAAAACAATGGAACGCTGGTTTTTTGGAAGTAGTCAAGTATCCACAATGGGTGTCAAACATAGTGGTGGTACCCAAAAAGGAAGGTAAAATCAGAGTTTGTGTGGACTTTAGGGACTTAAACCGGGCTAGCCCTAAAGATAATTTCCCTATACCACACATAGATATGTTAGTTGATAATGCAACACGTAGCTCCACATATTCCTTTATGGATGGGTTTTCAGGATACAATCAGATAAAAATGGCACAAGAGGATAAGGAGAAGACAACCTTTGTAACACCATGGGGAACCTTTTGCTACAAAGTCATGCCATTTGGTTTAAAGAATGCCGGGGCCACCTACCAAAGGGCTATGGTGACTTTGTTTCACGACATGATGCACAAAGAGATTGAAGTATACGTGGATGACATGATTGCTAAATCTAGAGAGGGAGAAAATCATGTCCAAATATTAAAGAAATTGTTTGAAAGACTAAGAAAATATAAGTTGAGACTTAACCCGGCGAAGTGTTCGTTCGGGGTGAAATCTGGGAAATTGTTGGGATTTGTGGTGAGTGACAAAGGGATAGAAGTTGATCCCGACAAAGTAAAGGCTATTCAATCTATGCCACCTCCCAAGATTGAGAAAGATGTGAGAAGCTTCTTAGGAAGGTTGAATTACATTGCTCGGTTTATATCCCAATTAACCACGACTTGTGACCCGATCTTTCATTTATTAAGGAAGAAGAACCCAGGAATTTGGAATGAAGAGTGCGAAGAGGCCTTTGAGAAAATCAAGCAATACTTGTTGAATCCGCCCTTGCTTGTTCCTCCTATACCAGAAAGGCCATTGATATTGTACCTAACAATAACAGAAACAATGATGGGATGTGTGCTTGGGCAACACGATGAAACTGGAAGGAAGGAAAGGGCCATTTATTACCTGAGCAAGAAGTTCACGGAATATGAGTCTAGGTATACGGTGATTGAGAAGCTGTGTTGCGCACTAACATGGGCTGTAAAGAGATTACGTCAGTATATGTTGTATTGACACGATCAAAGAGTTGATGTCTTATCCCAAGTGCAGGAGTGTCAAAGTAAAATAACCCGGCAAGACCGGGGTCGAACCACAGGGAGGTGAATTATATAAATTACAAATAAAGAAAAAGAGTTGAAGAGAATAATAACAGAAAAAGAGTTGAAGAGAATTTTGGGATGTGATATTGATGTAAGGATTAAACAATAACAAAACATATGTCAAGGTTATAGGATTTACTAATAGTATTTCAAATAAATATAATATAAACTCTTTTTATTACTCAACTAGAAACCACACACAAAGGAGGTTCTAATCGGATGATTTCTCGTTATTAGCTCATTATAAATTACTAACATGATTATATTAATTATCTTATATAAGTAATACCATACTTATAAATATCATCAAGCATTCATGTTGCTAGTTTATGTTAACAACAAATCAAGTTTCTATCATAATAACGATTTCGGCCGAAAACTATGAAAGATCAAGCATTTGATGTACCAAATATTATACAACACAAATCTAAATTAAACATTTAATAAGCAAGGTATTAAGAATTAGTAAGATAAAAAGATAAAACATGTTAATAACAATCTTTCTTGGATATAAACATTTAAAACTCATGTTGAGTTTATATTATACCTATTCTAACACCATTAGAGAAACCTTTTCACCTTGACATAATTAACTTAGCTAAACATTAAGAAGGAGAAAAACAAAAATAAACAATATAAGAACATAAACATAATATAAGCTAACTAAGTATAGGAAAGGAAATGAAAGAGCATAAACAAGAGATTACTATAGCATAAAAGAAAACTTGAACATTACAAAGATGTAGAGAGAAAGCAAGAAGATAACTTTGATCTGAAAATTAATATGACTAAATACATGGACAATGCCTCCTTTTATAGGCTAAGTTTCAGAACTATTGATTGATTGAAGAATTGGTGGGCATCCATTGATTTGGTGGCTGGTTTTTGACATTAATGGCTGCTGGTTTTTTGATATTGTGGGCTGATTTTTGATATTGTTGGCTGGCCAAAACGTCATTGCTCACATCAGAATTATAGCCAACTGAATTATGGAAGCTGTGGGCAATTGTCTCAGCTTTCCATAAAAAAAAACCAGAGCTCATTTGGACTTCTAGAACTCAAGATATGAGCCAAAAACTGAATAGTGCTTGAGCTGCAGGACAGCTTCCGACGTCTTCGTTGTTGCTAAGATTTGGGCTTGAAAACGGCAGAACTGAGTCTTTGACTTCCTATGAAAGTTGTAGGTCTATGTCTTACCTTTCCATCGATATAAAATAGACCTAAATCTGATATCTACAGCTCCAGATATGATCAAATTACTGAACGGTGTTCGAGTTTGGAATGCACCAGCAACACTTTGCTAAGTTTGGCCTTCTTTTTATCCTTTCAATTTCAATCCTTAAACTCATCAATCAATCCTTTTATTTATGTGATAGACCTACATTTAGGATGAACATTTACCATGAATTAAAGATATATTATATTTTTAGACTTGCTAATATAAAACATGCTTTTGGTAGGGAATTTAATGATACTTTAGGTGCAATATGATGACATAAATCCTTAATGAGAATGCACTTTTAAGTACTAATCATGTATCACACTACGTGGTTAATTTCCAAATTAGACCCGTTGAGGTTCCTGTCGCACCCTCGCGTGCGGAGCGCGGCGTCGCGACGATCGTCGATTGATTTTGGGGTCTCTTAGTTTTATTTTTGTGTAAAAGGGAGTCGCCACCTAGTATTATGGTCACTAGGAAACCTAACTGGCCTTTCAGAGATTCTAAGGAAAGGGACTGGTTGCGTAAAGGGAAGGTGTTAGCACCCCTAGTACGCCCTACCTAAGGTAAGCTGCTTGGTGTTTGTCTTATAATTGCTATGGTGTTGGTGTTTTCTAATCCCATCAGTTTTTCTCGGTTCGATTGTAACTAGATTTCTTAAGAAAGAAATCCAAGGAGATTCAATGCGCTTTACAAGCTCATTTTTTCCTTGGTATTTCAAGAACTCGTAAATC